GGGTGGGGGTGGGGTGGGGGGGTGTCTATCCTCTATTTGGCAGCATGGAAAGTGTGCCCCAAACTGGCCAAAACCCACAAAGTCTGCAAGTGGCAGAAACAAGCAGGACCACGTCACCCCCTGCCCAGTGCTTTGCCGCAAGGACGTTATAACACCTACATATTTATTCTCTGTAGGGCTGCCAGATTGGGCAAATAAAGACAGAGGATGCCCACCTTCATATAAATTATAATTTTTTAGTAAACACCCATACAAAATGTGAGGTACTAACAAAGTTAATCCTTGCGTAGCTGAAATTCAGATTTAACCCGGAGCCCTGGCTCCCTCATTCTCTGCAGTCCGGACTGCTCGGAGCTTCCTCTTGGGGTACTCACAGCTTCACCCATAATCTCCCAGTTACCCAGTCTGCACATCCAAGAGTAAAGAGTCAAAGTTCACTGCAGAAACCCCTCCGAGGTCCAGCTGGACCAGCACCTTTCCCCCAATACATGTCATGCCCCTTCCCCAATACACACTCTACTTCACGTCCCCCAACCCTTTGTTCTTACCATTAACACATGAAACCCACTATATAAATGACCTCCCGCCCTGATCAACCCACCACCACAGGGAACCTCACACTGGCCACACCTTTCACAAGGGAACATGTATTTCTCGGACTGCACAGCCCAAGACCACAGTCCATCAGAGATGCTTTCCTGTCCTCCTAGATCCTCACACACACACACTTGGGGTCTTAGAAAACGCTGACGGAGGACAGCCGTGCCCCAGGCTTGTGAGAGGCTGGAGTTTAGTAATACAGAACCCGAGCGGGGCTGGCTCTGCGGTTACTCCCAATCATACATACAATTTTGTTCTTGGCTCTTTCTTTGTCCAGTTTCAAAAATTCACCGAGGGTTAAGTCTTCAAACTGCTTCTTCACAGAAAGGAAAGCACAACCAGACGAGTGCTTTTTATGCTCCTCTCTAAAAAAAATCAACACAGGGGTGTGTCAACTGAGAAGGCGGTAAGGGGAGGAAGGCGACAGTTCATCATCACAGCCCCTTCCCACCACCCACCCGCTGCGTCTCCCAGACACGCTGCTCAGCTGCAAGAGCACAGTGATGACGGAAGTGGCCGGAACCAATGCCAGGTCCCAGGCCACACTCCCTCACCCCCGTGCTCATGTATGTTACCTGGAGCCCTTTAGCAGTTAGGAAAAATGTTACGCGTGATACGTCCAGAGCTCTCCCATGTCAAATCCCTCTTAACGCCCTCAGGGAGCTGAAGCAATCGCAGGAAGTGTTACAGGATCTACGGGTCTGGAATAGGGGCAGCACGGGCCAGGCTTCCCCAGGGAAGGCCTCTGCCTCGCACCATCATTTTACTTTCCTCCTGGGACTTAGCCTAGCGAGTGCACAGCACCGAACCTGAACAGTGACAGGAAGAACACACAGCCGGCGCCAAGTCCCGAGGGACAGCAACTGGAACCTGAACATATCACAGCGCTTAGAAATCCACTCCCAAAACACAACGGGCCCTTGCCCAACGATTCCCGGTGCGCTCGCCATGCCATTGGCTCCACACTGGGTCATGAGAGCAAACACGGTTCCTGGCCAAGAAGAGAAGCAGCTGGGGGGAGGCGCTCTCTTGGGAAAACGCTTTAAGTCCTTGGAAGTAACCGATTCTGACGCGGGAGGGGAGGAAAAGGCGAGAAAAGCCGTCTCTCTGCGGTTCTCCCAACACCCCCCCCCAGGCTTCTGTCCCTCGCAGGGCACAGCCCCAACAGCGGAGCGAACGCCTTTCAAAAGAGCGGTTTGGCTGATGTGTGAATTACAGGTCAGGAAGGCGTCAGCTTTAAAACTCTCAAACAGCCCGGCCGGCGTGGCTCGGCGGCTGAGCCTCCGCCTAGGATCCGGGAGATGGGGGTTCACTTCCCGGTCGGGCGGGCGGGGCTGCGGCTCCTCCACCCCCAGCAGGGGGCGCGCGGGAGGCGGCCGGTCAGGGACTCTCATCCTGACGTTTCTCTCTCCCTCCCCTCCTCCTCTCTCTGAAATCAATAAAGATCTATTTTTAAAAAATAAATACATAAAACTCTGAAACAAGAAAAGGACCCGGACCCCCTCAGGTCACAACAGGATCTGCTCCTCTCCTCTGCGCGACCCGAGAGGCATCCAGTACCTGTAAGAAGGAGCCTCTCTCCTTCTTTATCATTGTTGTTATTATTATTATTATTATTATTATTGTTCCTGCGACCAGTCCCCGGGCACTCACACGGGGTCGTCGTCCGGCTCCCAGCCCTCCAGCTCCTTGAAGCAGAAGAAGCACTGGGCCAAGTCGGGCTCGTTCTCGGTGGGGCAGTGGATGAAGCCGGCCGCGGCCATCTGCAAGGGAAGGCGCGGCTCAGACCCCGGCGGGGCGCGTCTCGGGTCCCCCGAGCCCCGCGGGAGGGGTCCCCAGGGC